TGGCCTAACCACTGCCTTATGCAACGGCAAGAATACTTCTGCTTTAGTGTTAGCGCCCTCCTAAGAGGAAACAACTCTTTTCGCGCCTTATTGGCAGCATGGCAACACTGTGCCGAAGGCTTAAAAATGTTCACTATGACGACACCTAGATCGCGGGCTTCATCAGTACACTGCAATGATAGAGATCCCGCAGGAGACTGCACTACAATTCCGCTACTACTGTTGGTCAATACCTGACATTTATTGGCATTCAGTAGATCCCATTGGATCGACCAATTAACCACAGTGGTGATGTCCCTAGCCAATATCGCTCAGTTTCCCTTACTAACTAGCTTTAAGTCATCTGCGGTCTGGCCGAATCTTGACATCACTACCCCTAAGTATGAATGAAAACCGCAGTAATGATTTGCGTTCCTCCGGTGTAGAAAGGACTGCAGTGACCTGGAGATTCCCCCGATTGATGTGCAGATCAATCCTAAATACTATGAAATCATAGTATTCTCATATATTAGGGAAGCAAGTGGTTTGTATGTTTGTATGGTGCACGTGTTTGTACGTGACAAACCGACAATATCCAGACATTGTACGCGGACTTCGAAAGGAATAAGTTCAAGTTCAGTTGGGACCGGAACGACAGGAGAATCCCGTGAATGTTCCTTCTTTTGCGTATCGTCGGATCGGGAATTGACAGGTATGCTGGAGGTGTTGAAAAGCCTAAAACAAAGCGCATCACACCCTGTCCAACCAATTACTGCCCACATTTTCCTACCCAGCAGTCCGTGCCAGGCCGGTTTATGTGAAGTGAAAGAGTAAAGGGTAAGCTAAGAAAACAAGAGGGTGAATGTCAGCTAAATAATGATAACACCAAAGTGTGAGAAGAAAGTTAAAAAAGAAGGGGAAGTTGAAGATACAAGTCAGTTAGGAGAAGGGGAAGGTTTGGTACTGCCACCCAAGGGCATCTAACTGACGCTCGAAACCCTCTACCCTAGACTCCCTAACCACGTGCTCCGGAAGCGAGTTCCAACGTCTAATAACTCAATGCGACAAGCGAGTTTCCGTTCTTACCCGGTCAGAACGCAGTTTGTGCAGCTTCAGCGGGTGACCTCGGAGACTAGGCAGCTCGGAGGGACCAAGTAGCCAGGACAAGTCTGGACCGATCTTACCCGTTAAGATACGGTAAGTGAGGATCAAGTCTCCTCTAATTCTGCGGTAGTGCATTGAGTACATACCCAAGCTAAGCAAACGTTCGGGATACGTTTGCCCCAGTAATCCCTGTATCAACATTGTACCCACTCGCCAAACCCCCTCCAGTTCCGTTTTGTCCCTTACAAGACAAGGTGGATAAGCCTGGATACAGTACCCTAAGTGGGGTTGCACAAAAGCTGGGAACAGCTTCACAAAAATATTGGCCCTTAGGACACTGAAGGAGTGGCGAACAAACCACAGCCAACGGAACCCTCTACAAGCAGCCTGCCTCCAACTGTCCCCAGAGTGAAGCAATGAGGTATGGGTGATACCTAGATCAAGTTGCTGAATAACAACAAGGAGTTCACTTCCACCAACAACATAGCGCGTGGGAGGACTAGCAGCTCCAATGCGGAGGATAGAACATTTCGCCTAATTTATAGGCACCAACCATAAGGTTGACCAATCCCAGAGCCTATCCAATGCACTCTGAAGTGCCTCAGAGCCACCAGCGATATCCACAAGATTCCAGAGCTTAAGGTCATCAGCAAACAATAGCGACGGTACTTCAAGCTCCTGGGGTAGATCATTGAGATACATAGCGAAAAGCAACGGCCCTAGAACCGAGCCCTGCGGAACGCCACTAAGAACAGCTTGTCTAAGCGAAAGACTACGCCCCACGCATACGCACCGTTCTCTCCTCTCTAGGAAAGCAGAAACCCATTTAAGGGCGGCTTCAGATATCCCATACAATCTCAACTTCAATGAGAGTCGTTGATTTGGGACAGTATCAAAGGCTTTCGAGAAGTCAACAAAAAGCACGTCGATGGCATGACCGTTGTCTCCCGCCTCAGCCCAGCTTTCACGAGCTACAAGTAAATTTATCAGACATGAAAATCCTTTACGGAATCCGTGCTGGGCCGCACTGAGAAGGTTAAACTTAATCAAGTGATTCTCCACCGAATCCCTTATCAACTTTCCAAACAACTTAACTACTACGCTTGTTAAGCTGACAGGCCGGTAGTTCGCAGGCAGAGCTCTGTCCCCGCCCTTGAAAATCGGGCAGATGATTGCCTTCTTCCATTCTGAAGGTAAGGCACAACTGTCGAGTGATATTGTAAACATGCATGTCAGAGGGTCGCTTAGCTCAGCGGCCAATTCATGCATCAGCTTCGGATGAATTGAATCAGGGCCAGAAGCTTTGGAAGGATTTAGCCCTTGCAATAGCCCGAAGACTTGTGTCTCCGTTATGCTGATTTCAGTTAGGCAAGTATCCTCTGGAACTTTTGTGACCAGCTCAACCTGAGGTAGAGAGCCCTCATGAGGAAAGACACCAGTATACTGTTCTCTAAGTATACAAGCATTATCATAGTCGGTATGCCCATGGGTCCCGTCCGCTCGTAGTAAAGCCGGTGTAGACGAGTTTGTATCGCTACGTCTCTCTACGTAAGCAAAGAACTTTGGATTAGTTACGGCTGCGTTAGCCAAATCCTCCTCCTACTTAAGTGTTCTAAGATGATGCTTACATTTATTTCTAACCGCTCGATAGCTTTCGTAGGTGCTGCTTGATGAAGCCGCTTGGTAAATTCGCCAACACTGCGCTTCCTGAGCAGGTATTTACCCGTATGATCTATCCAAGGAGGCTGCGCCCATGTCACCCGTCTCTTAATGAGTGGGATGTGGGGAACAGAGATCTCGGTGAGGTATGCTTTAAATTTCTCCCAGCCTGTCCAACGGTGTCATCACGGTGATCGCATAACGCAGAATTGAAGCTTTGTCTCGCATTAAGTTAAAGTCTGCCTGCCAAATATTTGGACATGCCTCAGCGGTAGCTTGATGACAATTAGTTAGAGCACATCGAAAAGATATGCAGACATGGTCACTGGCTCCTAGAGGACAGCCGTAGGTAATATCACTTACGAAATCATGTGACTTCGCAAAAATGAGATCCAAGGTAGACGGAATTTGGTTGCGCATATATCTAGTCGGGAGGTCCACGAACTGATGCAAAGGCAGTTGCAATGTTAGCTCGAGGAGATCCGGACCAAAAGTGCCCTCCGCCGAACTGCAAAGGAGATCAGCCCAGCAGACTTCAGGGATGTTGAAGTCACCCAGTATAAGACACCTATTGGCAGCCTGAGTACGAACAAATTCGATAACCTCCCTGGAGATACTTCCAAGACTTCGATATACCACTACCACTGTAAACTGAGCAGAGGAAGTGTACACAATAGTCGACAGGGCTTCAACAGTTTGATCCGGCGACTGGAACACACAGGTCCTCAACACATCAAGTTTATAACCCACATAAAGAGCGACGCCCCCACCTTGGCGGCCAACGGAGCGATCGCATCTACACCGTGCGTAGCCAGGAAAACATACTTCACCGTCTATGATATCCGGGGACAGCCACGTTTCGGTGAAATCAAGTATGTCGGGACGAGATTTGTCTACAAGTAAACCCACCTCGTGTACCTTGTTCCTTACGCTACGCACATTACTAAGCACTACCCCAAGGAACTCGGCACAACCAGCCCTGGGTCGTACGCTAGCAGGAGGGGTTCTGATAGGGCAGAATTTGACTTCCAGCTGACCACCTGAAAACTCATAAGAGGAAGACCTTGCTCACCAGCCAACCGCCTGCTCTTGAGGCTTTTTATGGCTTCCTTTAACTTCAGTCGATCTGCCAGTGGGAGGTCCGGCCAAACGCTGACACTACTGACCTTGAGTGTGAATGCAAAGCGCATTAACGCTTTGCGTTCCTCCGGGGTTGAGAGGACTACACGAAGTAGTCGGGGTCGCGGATTTGGCGTATCTACAGGGACGTTAGTTTCCTGATAGCGACACCGAGGAAACCAGGTGGAAGCATCTTGTTGACGCCGAACTGAACTACTGGAGGTCATCTAACATGCGTTCCATTGGAAGAGCTGCCGCGGATTCAGCAACGTTACGAAAGATAACGCTACTATCAGTAAAAGAATCATCTCAACGAGGCGTATTCACTCCACGAGTCTTCAACTCGACCCCAGTTTCGACCGGTTTGGTAGGTGACACGGCGGTTTCCAGTACGACATCAGAGGCCTCTTTAGAGGCATTATGGACCGCTGGGACACACGACACGGTAGACATCACCTCAGTCGGATTTTCATCGACAGCTACTGAGGTTAGTTGTATGTTTTCCTCCAATGAGCCGACATCAATAGAGACTCCCATATTCCTCATCAGTAACTCCACTTTCCGGTCAAGAGATGTGAGGAAAGACCACAACCGCTGGTTACCCAGCCCGACGTTGCTCGATGTCTCCTCATTGACCTCAAGACGCGTGGATCGACGGCGACAGCATAGAATACAATTGAACAGCATGCTGTCGCTAGTCGAAAGCATTGCGTACTGATCAGGGCTCAAATCGGTACAAGTCTCATGGTACCAGCAGTTGCATACATAGCCCTGTATGCTATCAGAGTCGTCCCTGCTAGTGCAGGGAACGTAAATATAAGTATTGCTCGCCGAGGGTGTAGATTTGGTGTTTCGTTTTAGATTCATAAACACGTCGTAGCACCTTATAATTTCCTGCTTGCTAAATGCGCTCAAGTGGAACCATTCAAGGGATTTTTCTTACGGTTCCAGTCCTATCTGAAGCTGAATCTGGAATAGAAATACATTGGTTGAAAAGTCGGTACACTCCCACCGTCATTTATGTCCACCTACACCTACTGCAGTAAGACAACTACGGTGTGACGGTAGGTCACCTATACCTGTAAAAACGTGCATCACGCAGTTACAATTACACAATATGTAACTAAAGAAACACTTACCGTAAGGTTGCCTTCTGTATTAGGATTTGCTTGTCATATTCGTAACGTCAGCAGAGAAAGGTACACAACAGGTTGCCCTAAATATGAAAGCAGCATGAAAGATAACACTATTTATCAAGCACAAAATGCACAGAAATACGTGCTGTCACCACGGTATTTGTAACAGTTGGTGACACTAAGTGTTGTAAGCTTCGCACGTTACCCATTATATGGAATTGTCCTGGCATTCAGCATCCGCTTTTCGCAAACATTAAGCACAAACGCTGTTATTTGGAGGTACCGCTTTGCTTGCATGCAACCGTGCGGTCGTTGCTCTGTGCGACGTCAAGCCAAGGTAGCGGTATCCAATTTTCGGAAATTCGTCCCTATGATGTAGCTACCGCCTGTAGGAACCTCCGTGAACCAAATATTTGAGGATACACGACGATTCGCTATATTCACTTCCGCACGAACATCCCTGCTCGTGGAAGCTATGGAACTCGCGGGGGATTTAACTTATGTGAATTCCGAGGACACCGCAGACACAGGGACGTTAACACTTGCCACCGCGATTGGCCGGGATGAAGTAGACATTAGGCGAGAAAGGTTGCCACCCTGTAATAACGCACCACGGGGCACCGTGGCGACCCGAAAAGCAGATTAATATCGCAGTTCAACGCACTAACTCATATAGACTGCGCATCGTATGCAGCATCTTTGCAAACCGCTCAGACCCGTGGACATGCATCTGCGCCTCTATGTCCGCTAACGCTTACTCTACCGCAAGCAAGTATAATGCCCGTTCACGCATGCCTACCTTGTGGCACGTACCTCACGCACTCTGGTGGCAGTGACCAATTGCTCCTTAATTTCCATCGCCTCAGCCGTACAGCGTCACACTAGCCACACACATTTGTGCAATAATCAACGGTATCAACCTGTCGCATCACAGCAACGTGGCAACGGTGCCTGCGCCGTTAAGGCTGGAATGAAAAAGTGTATGTATCTCCGCTCTGGATTGATACCTGTAGACCTTATCTGAAGCCATCAGCCTACAATCGCAGTTGAAAGTAACGCTGTGTACAGCGACCGGTTAACAGTGGACAAGGAGGCGGTGCCGTGCCTGGCTGATTAACGGCAGCATGATATGTACGTACCCTGGCAGTTCCAGGGGCAGTGCAGTTCTTTTTAACAGCAGTACATCAGCCATTTGAACTGATGCTTCGCTGCCATACAACCATGAGGACCTACGAAATAAAGAATAAGAAGAGGGAGAGAAGAGGGACTCACCTGAAAACCCTAATGCACTAAGCAAACATTCAGGGTCAAGGCGCCTACACCTTGTGTAGACAACATACCGTCACAAACAACTGGCTATCGTGCAAAGATAAGGCGGCATCCGCGAGACAGCTTCCTTGCGGCTTTCACTGCCACGCGTCATAATCAGCCATTATCCCGCAGATAACTCAGCACCAAACACACTTTAAACAGACAATCCGATTAGGAGACGGCAGCACATGCGCCACTGGTGTTGGTTGCGAGCCATGTCCTGTAAAGTCTCGAGCCAAGCACAAGGTGAGTCACTTGGACTCCAACCCGGAAGGCGAGACGGACCAGCGGCACCCAGTTTGGTCGTCAGTGACTTCATTTCCCATTGCCAAGTCAACTTCTGTCCACCTCGAGCTTTGCGCCATCCTACACCCGGTAGACTGAACAAGGCCCTTCTAGGTAAGCGGTGACCAGGCATGCGTAGCACGTGCCCGAGCCAACGCAACTTATTCAGTGCTATCTGTTGTTCTAGTGAGCTAGCATGATTATAACCACCCAGTACTCGCCTACGCACATCATCGTTGCGGATACGCTGGTGCCATCCGACACCAGCAATGCTTCGCAGACAACGATGATCAAAGACTTGAAGGCGCCTCAGATCTTCAGATCGAAGGGGCCAAGTTTCACTATCATAGAGCAGAACGGCCCTCACTGTGGCCTTGTATACACGGCCTTTCAGACGGAGGGAAACTTCCTTCTGTCGCCAAAGATGACGCAGGTTCAAGAAGGCAGCTCTGGTTTTTGCTATGCGTGAGCTCACGTCAGTTTCTATGCGCCCATCATTGCTGATGCAGCTGCCAAGATAAGTGAATTGATCAACCACCTCGAGTTCCTCGTTAGCAAGCGTCAAGGGGTCATCGAGTGGCTGGTGATCCTACAGCAACACTTTGCACTTTGAAGGTGCGAAGTGCATACCAAATAATGGGACCACTCTGGATAGGCTATTCAGGGTCCATTGTGCCGCCGCAACATAGTAGAAAAGCAAGACGATATCGTCCGCATAATCTAGATCAACTAACTTTTCACCAGGCAGCACTCCAACACCTACATCACGAGATTCCGTAAGGGAACACTCTATGATAGAATCCACGACGAAATTGAACTAAAATGGGGAAATAGGAAAACCTGACGGATGCCACTTGGGGTCGGAAAGCTATCCGACAGGGCACCATAGACCCTGACGCGGCCTGTAGTGTTCGAGTATAGAGCACGAAGGATGTTCACATATTTCGTGGGAACACCTTTTCGCGCAAGTAATTCGAACAGAATCGACCGAATCGAACGCACTCTTGGAATCGAGGAACACAGCTATTGTCGGTCTGCGGTATGCGTGGCGCTGCTCTAGCACCTGCCGCAAAGTAAATATATGGTCTATACAGCCACGTCCTGGGCGAAAACCGGCCTGCTCTTCCCTAATCTGAGATTCCCGTTCTGCAGTGAGGCGACGAACGATAATCGAGGCCAGTAATTTTGTCACAACTGGCGTTAGGCTAATACCCCTGTGGTTCGCACAGTCTGTGCGACTGCCCTTTTTGTATACTGCCACTATAATCGATTCGCTCCAATTAGCCGGCACACTCTTCGTTCCAGATACGTTCGAATAGGGAGGTCAGTGCTCTGCAGAGGACCTCACCTCCATCCTTAAATAATGCAGGTGGTAGGGAATCCGGGCCAGCAGCACGAAAACGATTGAGGGCTGTGATCGCGTTCGGACCTCGGCCTCCGACGGAGGCTCTAAACTAACCGTCCATGGCACGTCCTGCATCACCTGAGTAGGAAGAGGTCCGGGAGCAGGGGGCCAGCTGAACTGATCTTCCGCCCAACGAGCCATACGGCGCTCCTTATTGTGTATCAGCGCACCCGCGCTGTCCATGATTGTCTCACTGACGCCCGGTTTTCTCGGACCAGTGGTGCGTATTAGCTGGAAGAGCTTGCGGTAATTGCCTACTGCTCCTGCCTCCTCCATTTCTTGAGCCCGACTGGTCCACCAGGCTTCCTTGTCAGCACGTAGGCTCCGCTTTGGTTCACGCCTAATAACCCGTCTGGTCACATTGTGTTCAGAACCAGCCGGGAGGTGCCTTCTAGCTTCCAAAAGGTTCACGGACCTCTCGGATATCCAGTGACTGGTGCGATGACGACTGATAGTGCCACAAACAGATGCTCCTGCGTCGTGCATAGCGGCCGAGATCCTATTCCACTGAAGTTCAGAGTCATTAGGACAAGACAGCGAGAGTTCGCTATGCATGCTTCTTGATAGTCTTGCCTGACAGAGGGCTGGGACAATTTCTCCGTTGCCAATCGGGGGAGACTCTTTGTGCGCCTTCCGGCAAAGTTCATGGAGAAACGACAGCGCACCAAGGCATGATCAGAGTAGACACAGGTACTCCAGTAAAAGCGGCAATCCAGAATGGAACCGCGCCACCTGTAACTTATGGCTATGTGGTCAATCTGGGTCCATCGCTGGCCAGCTACAGGTGGACGCCAAGTGGCACTTCGGCGCCCACTGTGTCTAAAAGCAGTGCTAGCAAGAAACAACTGGTGCTCCGCACACAGTTGCAGCAGACGCTCGCCGTTGTCAGTCCGTTCGGCGTTAAGTCCATACTTACCACCCAGCTGAGCTTCTGAAGAGCTCAGACGCCCTACTTGTGCGTTCAAGTGGCAGTGCAGTAGACCGCAGGAAATCCATTTTAGAAAGTATGCGTTTAGGTCAACAACCGCCGCAATGCTTTGCAAACCTCTGTACCAGGGTCACAAAGAAGGAACACTCGCTCAACTGCACCTTTCATTGCAAGTTCTCCTCCTCTACACTGTTTAGTGTGGCAACCAAACAACACAACCTCATGCAGCTTATGCGCTGCCAGGGAGCCAGCACAGTCAAGCCAATTTTACTGCAAATACGTCTACTCTTCACTGCATCCTTTCCAGGAGATGATAAAACTGCGCCAAGTCTCTCGTTTAGACCAAAGCTCGCATCCATTGTCGGAGCTTTTCATTGCCAACTGCATGCACCCCGATTAAATACACGCACTTTCTGCTCATATCAAGGATGATATGAACCCGGAAATCTACCAAGGCTGTGCCTGTGTAAGCAGCATCGAAAAACAGACTTAAGCCGTGCGTTTGTCGTTGACTACTGTGGGCACATTCGAAGCTTCCGGCACTATTTCAGGCATCGCCTGCACAGCCTGACAGACTGTAGACGGTTTCATTTGGGAGTAATACCTCGAAAAAGGATATGAAAATACCGCTCACATCAACGAAGATGTAGTGCCACAAACTTTAGCCGTCACAGGTAATCTGATGAGTGGCGTCCGCCAACATCACCTCAGCATAAGGCACCATCAATGATACCATCACTGTAGGCCCAAAATAAAGATAGATCACCTTCATGCACTGCCGTACTACTTCATATACCTTGTAGTTCTAAAAGCTGCGCCACTTACTCAACTGCGTTCCTCTTCCCTCGTTTCCCGCGCTCTCTGATGCCAACCAAAGATTGACGGCTAAAACACAAACCATGGTTGAACATCACAACAGGCCGCATCATCAGCGTATTCCGGAAAGTTGTTATTAGTCACCTGATCTAATCCTCCTGCGCAGGAGTTAGCCTGCGGGTACCTAGATGTAACCAAGTATTTCCCATATGAGAATGCTTCATGCACCAAAGGCCGAGTACATAACGTAACTTGCAGTATGACCGAGAACGGTGCCTTGGATTTGTAGCATTCCGCACCATACATATAATGCAGTAACAACGCATTTCCATACTT